TTTTTTTTTTTTTTTTTTCCAGTACCAGGGATTGAACACAGGACCTTGTGCTTGTGAGACAGGCACGGAGACACAGCTAAATCCCCAGCCTGTGGTGCTCCTTTCTGTCCGTGGCAGCTGGTCACACGGTCAGGCTAGTCTTAGGGAGCCCCTAGCATTGTCTTTTCCCAGGCCATCTGCTGGGCGTGTGCAGCAGTGAGTGTGCCAGTGCACATCTGTCCATCCGTAGCAGGGTCGTGCTCTGGTCTCTGGCTGGGGCAGGATTTTCTCTGCCCCCAAGATCAGTGTCCCTGTGTTCATCTCCTAGGCCTGAGCAGGGCTTTTTCCTCTCTGGAAACTCCCCAGGCTGAATCATGGAAATCAGAGACAACACCCGCTTCCTCCCCACATCGCTCAGCTCAGTTCATCTTATGTGTTCCCTGCCACCACCAGCCTGCACGCCATCGTCTCTCTGTTTCACCTTGGAGGTCAAGGAGACCGGCCCACCAAAGTGGGTGGGAGAGGGCTGGTGGAGGGGTGGGAAGGGACTATCAGGAGTGAGGGCCTGTGCAGAAAAACTGTTGCTTTAGGCCAGGGTTTGAACCCATGCAGGGGTTGGTGATGGTGGGCTCCTGCAGGCCTGTGCCTTGGGGTCCCAAGATGAGGCCTCCCCTCCATTTGCTGACAGACAGTTCTGGAATGCTGCTCTAGCCAGCAAGGAGTAGAGGGATGGTGCCTTGGGCAAACCCTTGGTAGTCGCACAGTTCTAAAACTACTCAAGCTGTATGGGGTGATGCACACTTGTTAATCCCAGCACTCTGGGCAACTGAGGCAGGAGGATCATGAGTTTGAGGCCAGCTGGGCTTCAAAACAAGTTCAAGGCCAGCCTTGAACATAGTGAGACCTCTCTCAAAAGAAATAAATGAGATACAATAAACATTTACTCAAAATCATTGAATTATACCTTATAAAAAGGGTGAATTTTATAGCATGTAAGTTGTACCTCAATAAAACTTTTTAAAAATCCTACCCTTGGCCTCAGGGCCCTACCCATTTGGGAGCCTGCCAAGCTCACAGCCACACCTTGCATCCATTTCAGGCTGCATCCCCTTTTGTAACATCTCCCTGTTCTTAACTCCCAGCCTGGCAGCCCCTTCCCCTGCAAAGCCCCCCCATCCCAGTCCCATCCCAGTCCGTCTCGCTCTAGCCCAGCTCCTGTGTACTCCTGCTCTGTGTCCTCCCTTGGTCCCCCAGAACTACAGAGCGTGGAGTTGCTGTTGGTAAGTGGGGTTATATCCGTGGCCATGGCTACGTACACAGCACCATTCCATCCCCAGGATGGAAAGCCAGCCCCGATGCTGACTGGCCTGTAGAAAACAGGACAGAGTCCTGCCGGCAGTGAAGTGAGGCTGTTCTGGGGCTGAGGGTGCAGTGATAACGCTGCCATCACTTCTGGTGATTTCATTGCCAGCTGGCATTATGATGTCACCGGCCCAACATTCCAGGTTCCTGCCTGTGCATCTCCAACTCCCCAGGTGGGGGCACTCTCCTGGAGTCTGACAGCTTGCTTGCCCTTGACCATGGAGGTGTGACCAGCATGGTAACAGTCCTGGGTTAGCTGGGTGACAGGTTCCTGGGTCACCTTGCCCTGGGCCACTTTGTTGAATGCACAGGTAGAATAGAGGTGGTCACAGAGCAGTGTGACAAACGCTTGAGCTCTGGGCTTCAGCCAGAGTCTACTCTTACTGGGCACTTTGACCTTGGGCTGAAAACTGGAACTTTTCTATTCTCAGTTTCCTCATCTGTGAGGTTAGTTAATAGGTTTCATATCCTTGGGAAGGTTTTATTTGTTTATTATTATTTGTTTATTTGCTATGTAGTACAGACTGGCCTTGAACTTGCTGTGTACCTCAGACTGGCCTTAAACTCTTGCCTCAGCCTCGCAAGTGTTGGGAATACAGGTTGTGTGCCATCATGCAGGGCTTCAGTTCTATTTTAAGCATAATAACATTGGGACAACTGCATGCCCTGGTACGTGCCTATATCCCAATCACTTAGGAAGCTGAAGCAGGAAGATCAAAATAAGAAAGAAATAAAAAGGGCTGGGGGTGTAGCTCAGTGTTCCATGGGTGCAGATCCCAGTACTGAAGTCAATCAGTCTCAAACCAACCTAGTACAGTAGATGCTCAGTAAGTAGCTGATTAGGTGAAGGAACCTGAGTATCAACCTTGGTACTGGGTGGAGGGGAAGGATCTGTCCTTGGCTGGGGAGAGGAGCAGGGTCTGTGCCTTCTGGGGGTAGAAGCAGGGAGTGGTCCCCACTGCCAGCAGGGTGGTTCTCTCTGTGACTGTCCCTTTCCCCAAACCGAGTTTCAGCTCAGCCCCCCAGGAAGTGTTAGGTCCTAGTGGCCGAGCCCTAAAGCCAAAAACTCATTGCTTCCCATCCCTGCTTTCTATCCACGCCCAAGGCTTTAGACTGGCCATGACAGGTCTCATCTGGCCTCCCTTCCTCCTTCCCTCCCATGCTTTCTCTTGGCCCCTGTGCCCCTCGGTCTGGGACTCTTTCCCCCCCAGGACTCTGCTTCTATGTTTCGTGGACTGAGAGTCCCCTAACCTTGGGTCCCTGGTTCTCTGTGAGCCCCATCGTGCTGATCTCTGGTCCCCTCTCCACCCTCTGTCCTCTTAACCTTGACCTTTCTCCCCTCCTCTCCAGGTCCCTTTTCCTCTGACCCAGCCCTCGAATTCTCTCAGCATTCTCTGCCCCCTTGTTCCCCTCTGCCCCTCAGCTCTCTATGACTTGTTCCCCCGCCCCCTGAGCTCTGTCCCTGCCCGTCAGCCCCTGGTCCCAGCTCCCGGCCGCCCGGCTCCTGCATGGACAAAGGGGTCCTTTGTGGGCTGACCACGGCTGGCGGGGCGGCGGGGCGCTGGCTCCGCATTGCTGATGAAACGGAGCCCTTTGTTGTCCCTCCTCAGGCGCAGTATTTCTTTTTGGGGGCTGGATGCGTTCCTGGCAGGGCCGATGATGGATGCGCCCGCCGCTGCCCGCCAGCTTTCCCTCCCGCTCATTCCCGCTCCGCTTCAACGCAGCCCCAGCTCCTCCCCTGCTGCCTGGGCACTGCCAGGCCCTTCCTTGCCTGGGAGGGGTTGCTGTGTGTCCTGTAGCCTAGGAGAAGGTCACCTCTGTGTCCTCCCCTTCGGTGAATAGGGCAGATGGAGCCTGTGCTCTGAGGTCCACTGGGACCAAGGCATCAGCTTTCCCAAGATCTGAAGAAGATGAGCTGGGTACGGGCAGATTTGGAATGAGCTTGAGGACCAGCCCCTGAGGACTACATGTGGGTCTGAGGACAGGCAGGTGCCCCCTCGTGTTGCCCTTCTCCACCTTCAGCTTCTGAGGCTGACAAGCCATAGCCTTCTGCCCGCAGCGGTGACATGTCACGTCCTTGGTCACAAGCTCAGTATGTCCCAGGACCTGGGGGCTGAGGGTGGATGGTCCCTGAGGAAGGATGGAAAAGCAGATCAGAGAAATTCCAAGAAGGGACCAGAGATGAACAGAACTTGAGGTTTGTTCCCCACCAAGAGAGACTCAGGATGGAGACAAAAGCAGAGGCTCAGCCCGAGCGCCAGCCCTGCACCAACACAGGCCAGGCCAGCTGTGTTGGAGGGAGCTGACTTCTAATTGACCTGCCCGCCCCACATGCAGAGCCAGATCCTGGAGCTGTGAGGAGGGAGGGAGCAGCAGAGCAAGAGCAGCGTTAATGCAGCTATCGATTTCTGCCACCAGCCAGCAGGCCACAGAGGTGGGGGCTGCACACAGGGGCTGGGGCACAGACTGCTCCTCTCCCCTTCTCTCCACCCTGCAGACCCCTGGATCTTTCCCTCTTCCCGGGATCTGGGGCTGCTGGATCAGGGTCCAGGGCACATTTGTTGAGCTTGGAGGAACAGGAGTTGGAAGCAACGCTTTGGTGGTTTCTGACCCTTATCTCACAAGCCTGGTCCCCCACACCTAGCCAGGGTCACTGATGCCTGGATGGGTTATAGCAGTCGTCATATAGGGCTGAAGACATGGTCTGGGCTTGGCCCTTAGAGGTTACACAGCATAGCAACACTTCTGCTACATGGTCTCCTTCCACTTACTGTGTCTCTGACCCCCAGCCCAGCCTGGATGCCGCCAGGCCTTCCTGGGTATATCCTGGTGCCTCTGTCAGCTTGCCCAGCCAGCCCTTCCTCACCCATCTGCCTTTGCTAGTGAGTCCAGGATGAGCTGGTGTCCACTGTGGAGGGCCAGGAGGGTCTGGCTGTGTACACCTGACAGCAACTTCACTCTGGAGCTTTTTCCTTGACCACACGGTCCCCTCCCTCTTTGGGGCCACCCCTTGGCGGTCCTGGAGCAGAAGACTATAAATGGAGATTATTGGACTAAAAGATCTGCTGAGACAGGCTGAGCAGCTAGGGCAGCCAGACTGGGGAATGATGGGGTTGCCTGGGCATGAAGATCCAATATATTCCTGCCCTCAACCTTGGGGCGGGATAGGGTTCACCAGATGTGTGCCTCCTTGAGCCACCAGCTGTTGAGGAACTGGGCCCTGCTGTCCCTCTCCGGGGCCTGCTGGGTTACAGTGGGCAGGCGGGAAGGGATGCTAGAAAGCCATAACCAATGAGGAAACTGCCAGCAGCTCCAGTCCGGTGCCTTCGCCTTGGGCTTGAGTGCAGTAGGCCTTGTCCCAGCAAGGGGCACCTCTAGGCTCACACCCACTATTGGTCGCAGCCTGTCACAGCCCAAGACCCCTCCATGCTGCAGGCCTTACAAGGCCTCTGCCCTGTCCCCATCTGGGAGCTGTGAGGGGCCCAAGTCAAGACAAGAGCAGATCTGAGATGATGCTGAGTGAGGTTTGGGAGCTGAAGAGGAACTGTGTACTGGGGTGCACCTCCTGGCCTCCCCCACCACACATACCGGGGAAGGCTTGTCCTCTCGGCTCGTGCTACTTGCTCCGTAGCAGGAAATGAGATGGCTCCTCAAGCTTTTCTGCTTTATTGACAGACCCTAGGCTAAACAAAGCAGCCACCTGTAGGACTTGTCAGAGCCTTGAAATAACTGATACATGTTAGGAATTTCTAAGTGAGATCCAGGAGCAGCTTCCCAGGATTTTTGGGCTATACCTTCCCTCACTCCTCTCCTATTTTTCTCATCTATGAAATGGAGGAATACCAGCCACTACTTCGTACGATTCTTCTGCATCTTAACTGAGATAGTAGAAATAAAAAATTCCCACCCAAGGTGAGCGTGTGGTTACCGTGGCAACACAGGTGCTGATGATGGTAGTGTTGGAGGAGGAGGGTTTTACTGCTCCCCTGACCCTGTACCCTCTTGTCCCAACAGGGTAAAGACACTTCCACGTGGACACCTGACCATGTGCCTGTCCTGAGCAGCGAGGCCCACCAGGCATCTCTGTTGTGGGCAGCAGGACCCGGCGCTCGTCTGTGAACCCCTGGCAGTCGGCGGGCTTTCTCAGCAGTGGGTTCTGGGCCTCAGCCCCACCATGTCGAGCCTCGGTGGTGGCTCCCAGGATGCCGGCAGCAGCAGCAGCACCACCACTACCACCAATGGCAGCAGTGGCCCAAAAGCAGGAGCAACAGACAAGAGTACAGCAGTGGTGGCCACTGCGCCAGCCTTGGTGGCAGATGATGCGCCACCACCTGAGCGTCGGAACAAGAGTGGCATCATCAGCGAACCTCTCAACAAGAGCCTCCGGCGCTCCCGTCCACTCTCCCACTACTCTTCCTTTGGTGGCAGTGGTGGCAGTGGTGGTGGCAGCATGATGGGCGGGGAGTCTGCTGAGAAGGCCGCTGCAGCTGCAGCTGCCCTGTTGGCCAATGGTCACGACCTCGCGGCGGCCATGGCAGTGGACAAAAGCAACCCTACCTCAAAGCACAAAAGTGGTGCTGTGGCCAGCCTGCTGAGCAAGGCAGAGCGGGCCACGGAGCTGGCAGCTGAGGGACAGCTGACACTGCAGCAGTTTGCGCAGTCCACAGAGATGCTGAAGCGCGTGGTGCAGGAGCACCTCCCGCTGATGAGCGAGGCAGGTGCAGGCCTGCCTGACATGGAGGCTGTGGCGGGCGCTGAAGCCCTCAATGGCCAGTCCGATTTCCCCTACCTGGGTGCTTTCCCCATCAACCCAGGCCTCTTCATCATGACCCCGGCAGGCGTGTTCCTGGCCGAGAGCGCGCTGCACATGGCTGGCCTGGCCGAGTACCCCATGCAGGGAGAGCTGGCCTCTGCCATCAGCTCGGGCAAGAAGAAGCGGAAACGCTGCGGCATGTGTGCGCCCTGTCGGCGACGCATCAACTGCGAGCAGTGCAGCAGTTGTAGGAACCGAAAGACTGGCCATCAGATTTGCAAATTCAGAAAATGTGAGGAACTCAAAAAGAAGCCTTCCACTGCTCTGGAGGTAACGGCACCTTAGAGGGAGGTGTGTGGGCTCTTGTGTCTGTGTGGCAATCCAAACCCACCCCACGGCCCCAGAGCCCACCCTCCCTGCCTGCTGTGTCTAGGGGGATACCCAGTCGTGGGATCTGGGGGTCTGGCTTCGAGACACCAGTTCACTGCCCTAAAAGTCAAAGCCAAATCCTGAGATCCCAATAGGTCATAGTTTGCAAGGGCCTAATATTGGGATCCTGGTGCCTCTCTTAGGGTCTGGGTCAGGTATTGAGATTCCCATCTAGGTCCTAAGTTTCTAACTCTCAGACATGCCCTAAAGCATCCAGTTAAGATTCTGAGACTATCCCCTGGCCCATTTGAGAAGTTCTGTTCCACGGACCCCATGGCCTTGAGGATATACCCTTCACTTGTCCCTTGAGCTCTGCCTTTTCCTAAGGCCACCCAAGGGTAGCGAGGCTCTAGGGCTGACTACTCTACTTAGAGGCCTGAGAGAACCCTGGGTCTGTGCACCTAGCTGGCATATGCTGGGGCCTAGGTTAGGGATGACTGTAAGTCTGGGGAATAGGTAAGGGCCTGTCCACCATGAGTTTGACTTGGAGAAGGCACAGGGCTTCCCATGCTACTTCCGTCCACCCTTGTGGCAGGCCTATCCCTGTGCACCCGAACCCGACGTTGGTGACTTAGCTGGAATGCCAGGCCTGGTTACAAAGCATCGTTTCAACTTGATGTCCCTGCCCTTCTGCCAGTGGGCTTGACGCAAATGTCCAGAATGGCTGGAAAACAACAATGGCTCAGCTGTGGCCTCCTGGCCACCCCCACCCAAGCCCAGACCTCATGTGTTTATTTTCCTACATGTGCAAAAAGGCATCCCCTTTCCTCCAGCGTAGACACACACACACATACCTGCCCAGTACTTAGACTCCTGTTATAGCTACAGCTGCTTGTTAAACACCAGACAACCCTCCTCTGACGCTGCTCCACAAGCACTGCGCGATCTAGTGCAGCGTGAGGCACATGCCCGTGTACATAGCCAGTGCACACGCTCACTTGACAGCAACAGACAAGCCACCTGGTTTCGGTGCCTTTGGGCCAGGGGAAGGGGTTCACCTCTCTGGAAGGAGGGTTCTTGGGCACAGTGGCTCAGGAGGCCTCAGGGTGCTCAGGGCCCTTCAGCAGGTCATGGCTTCTCCTCTGGCCTGGCCAGGCCAGGATAGCAGGAACTCTGCGGGGTGGCTGCCTTTATCCATGCCCATCCCACCGCCATGAGGCCGTCCACGGGGAACGTCTTTGCAGCAGGCCTACCGGGACCCTGACTGAACTCTCTCCTTGTTTTTGTCTCCCGCCCCGCCAGAAGGTGATGCTTCCGACGGGAGCCGCCTTCCGGTGGTTTCAGTGACGGCGGCGGGAACCCAAAGCTGCCCTCTCCGTGCAATGTCACTGCTCGTGTGGTCTCCGGCAAGGGATTCGGGCGAAGACAAACGGATGCACCCGTCTTTAGAACCAAAAATATTCTCTCACAGATTTCATTCCTGTTTTTATATATATATTTTTTGTTGTCGTTTTAACATCTCCACGTCCCTAGTATAAAAAGAAAAAGAAAAAAATTTAACTGCTTTTTCAGAAGAACAACAACAAAAAAAGAGGTAAAGACGAATCTATAAAGTACCGAGACTTCCTGGGCAAAGAATGGACAATCAGTCTCCTTCCTGTGTCGATGTCAATGTTGTCTGTGCAGGAGATGCTGTTTTTGTGTAGAGAATGTAAATTTTCTGTAACCTTTTGAAATCTAGTTACTAATAAGCACTACTGTAATTTAGCACAGTTTAACTCCACCCTCATTTAAACTTCCTTTGATTCTTTCCGACCATGAAAATAGTGCATAGTTTGCCTGGAGAATCCACTCACATTTATAAAGAGAATGTTGATGGCGCCGTGTAGAAGCCTTTCTGTACCCATCCTTGAGTGCGGAGCTGCTGGTGGGAGCTCATTGGAGGGAGGGAGCACCCCACCCCCAGCCCCAGGCCAGCTGTGCTGCACCCACCGTGCCCTGACTGGGATCCCCCACCCCAACAGTGATGATTTTGGAAAAATGAAAGTATTCGTTTATCCACTGACATCTGGTGAGCCCGTGTCTCAATATTTCCGATCCTGGCTACTTCCCATAGAGAAAATAAGTCCTTTTTCGGGCCTTGCTAATGGCAGCAGAAGAAAGGGCTTCTTTGCGTGATCCCCTGCCGGTGGGGGTGAGTGCCCAAGGGGCCCGTGCGGCCCCAGGGCCCCCTGCCCATGGCCAGCTTCCTGCTGATGAACATGCTGTTTGTATTGTTTTAGGAAACCAGGCTGTTTTTGTGAATAAAACGAATGCATGTTTGTGTCACGAAGCACTGCTGGCTTCTTACTCTCCAGTTTGGGGGGGCTGGCTTGGGGGCTATTGCTGGGCAGGGGTTGTGTGGCAAAGAAGAACAAACCAAGGACACTTAGAATGGGATTATCTTGGGAAGACAGCCTTCGAGATCCGGTAGGAGGGTGAGCAGGAGGATGGAAATGGTCATCATTCAGAGGGGCCTGGCATCACTGTAGCTACCTGCTTGGACCCCACTCCTTAACACCTGCACCTCCAGCATCTTCATTCGCCCTGCCATCTTTTCTCTACCCATAGATTCATCAGGCCAGACCAGTGACAAGTGCCCTGCAGGCTAGGCTGCCTGCTTTTTCCTTACATGGCAGGATCTAGTCCTGCCCTAGCCATGGACATGAATCCCCTGGGAGAGTTTTGGCTGAGGCTCCTAGGAACCTGGCTGTGCCCAGTGCATACTCAGAGACCCTGCCTTCCCTTTCTCTTGAGGCCTGATGGTTCCTAGACTGAGTTCTGGAGGTGTCTCTGGTTTTGATTGCCCCCACCATCCCAAAGGTTTGTTGGTACAAGTTGGGACCTCAGGCCAGGTGTCTGGGGAAGTCACCACACAGCCACATGGGCGATGCCAGGGCAAACTGAATAGGAAGAAGTGGCAGTTGCCTGCCCCTTCTTATATGTTACAGGCCAGAATGAAGGATGAGGCCTATCTATCCAGTACCGGAGCCTTCCCCCAGCTTCTTTGCCCTGCTGGAGAAGAGGCTAGACTTGAAGAAGGACTTCCTGAAAATGTTGGACCCTGGCTTTCAGGTGGGTGAGCGATTTTAGAACAAAGGAAGAGGTAACTTCTAAAGCTGAGTGGGTGGTGAAGTGGAGGAGATTGGCTGTCTCTGCTATTGTTCCTGGAAGGAGAAAGTGTGGGGGGGGTGCTGACCCACAACCCTTTCCCCGTGTCACAGGCTCCCTTGGAGCACCAGGGGCTCAGCAGCAGCCTGGCCTGGCCCAGCAGGGGCAGACGGGGGTGGAGGGAGGCAGCTTTCAACTGCATCTCTGCCTGGGAAAATTCTCTTTCATGTGGCTGCCTGTGATCTCTCCAGGCGGCTCTGCCGAAGGGGGTGGGTGTCCAGCAGGGAACAGGGGGAGGTGTTGCAGCTGGGGGGCACCCTCACCCCAAGCACAAAGCGAAATGTGGTGCTTCTGGAACCTCTAGGTGGGGAGGGTCCTCCCCTGGGCTACTGGGGGAGCCTGGCCACCAGGGGGCACTTGGGCTGGAGGCCCCTGCCTGCCCCCACCCTGCTGGCAGCGCACAGGCTGCAGATGGCCCCGGCCGGCCTTCATTGGCACGCCTGCAGGTGTGGGGTGGATGGCTCTGGTGCCAGCTCCAAGGGTGGGGGGTGCTGTGACTCAGCCGGCCTGTGCATTTTCCTGTGCCAGCCCGCAGCCCAGCCTGAGTCTCCTGGGCCCCCTCCCAACAGAGATGCCTGAAGTTCAAAGTCCCTCACCTCTTCCAGGTTTTGCTGCTGGTGACATGCTCTGCTTCATAGAAATGGAAGCCCAGCCCTGGAGTCTGGAGGAGACCAGATGAGGGGTTAGCTGTGAGGCCAGCCCCTGGTATGGGCTGTTACTTTGTTTGGAAAGGGGCAACAGTTGATCCCCTAAAAAGCCTGAGAAGCAACTGAAATCAAGCCTGTATAAAGTACTCAATCAGTGGAACTGCTGCTGTGATTTTAAAATGTACTTGACTAAATCTCTCTAAGATGTTGCCTACCTTCTGTCCTGAAGCCCTAGCCTGCCCCACCCCACTGTGCCTTCCTGACTTTGCATGGCCTCAGTCCTACTCTATGCCAGTTTGCCTTTCTCTCTCTTGAGCTATCTTTGCTACTGTAGCTTGCTGGTCTCAGTGTTTCTGTCTCCACATCTCTGTCCCACACCTCTGTCCTGTTGCAGTTCCCTTGCTGCTGTCCCCCAACTGACTACTTAAGATTGTACACCCAGCTCTCTCCCTGAAGGGTGCACCCCTCTGCTGCAGGTGGAAGCCTGAAATACTGACCCTCGAAACCTTCACCCCAGCATCCTGTACCCCCACCTGGGTGACCTGACATTCAGGGCCAGCTTTATAGATGGCAGAGAATGAGTTCAAGAAGCTGGGTACCCATGCTTTGTTAGAGACAATTTCAATCTCTGAACAACTTCTGCATGGAGTGTGTGTGTGTGTGTGTAAGGGAAAGATGAAGCCTGTGATTTCGGCACTCAGGGAATCTGAGAAAGAAGGATCAAAGGATCACAAGTTTAAGCCCAGCCTGGGCAACTTAGTAAGACCCTGGGTTCAGTCCCCAGTACCACAAAAAGAAAAGAGGAAGAGCTGCTTCAGGGTCCTGAAAACCCTGTGAGGCAAGCAGTGTAGCTGTGTGTGACATTATGAAAATAGGCTTGTGGCTGGGTGAGAAACCATGATAGACCCCATGCCGCATATGATGGCAAATGGCCATGCTTTGGGATGTTCTGGGACTGTGATCCTGTGATCTAGTACAATCCTGTAACATTCCCAGTGTGATGCTGGGCTGAACGTATGACATTGGATTATTCTGTGCATGTTTCACATTGGCTATACAAAACTGTTGTATGGCATTGTGTCTGCTGTGACAAAACTAGATGAGTCTGCGTGGCATTGTGGGTATGACCTTGTGATGCTACCTGGATGACAGGGTGTGAGTCATGACATCGTGACGATGTGGATCTGTGATCTTGGGGATGCAGTCACTGCTGCCATGTCTATGACCACAGTGTTTTCTGGGTCTTTGCCCTGACAGCCATGCAACTGAGGAAAGCATGTGGTCTCTGCCTGTCTCTTACCCTACCCTGTCCCCTCACTGGTCCTGAGGCCCAGTTTGCATGGGGTTGCTGGTGTGGGTGCAGCAGGCACAGTTCCCACGGCCGCCACAGCCCCTCTCCCAAGCCTATCATCGCCTGATTCAGCTACACAGAATATCCTGGCAACCCCAGTCTCTTTGTTCTCTGTGGCTGCCCGAAAGCCTCCTCCACCTGACCTGCCCAGTGCCTGCCAGGCGCCCCCTCCCCTTAGCAGTCTGGCTTGGCCTGACCTAGTCACTAGCCACCCTTAGAACTGAAGTCCCTGTCCCGTGTGCTGGGCCCAACTCAGAATTCCAGACAGCCTTTAGCCCTCTGCTATGAGCCTGCTCTGATATTCAGCAGGAAGAAGGAAGCAGGACAGCCCCTGTGGATGTAGTGTGGGCCATGAGCTGTGCTGTCTGTTGGGATAATTCTTGGCCCAAGGCTAACAGGAAGCTTAGTCTTCAGTCTGGAACAGTTTTAGTTTATTGAGTAACTTTAGTTCTTTGGCTCTAAGAAGTCATCTGGACAGATTTTACCTTATTTTTTTCTCCTTCAGTAATGGATATTGAACCCAGGGCCTTCACACTAAGCTACATCCCCAGCAATTTTTTTTTTTTTTTAATCTTGAAATAGGGACTTGCTAAGTTGCCGAAGCTGGGCCTGAACATGTGGTCATCCTACCTCAGTCCCCCAGAGTCCTGTGATTACAGGTATTCACCACCACACCTAGCCATTACCCATTATATAAATGAAAAATTGAAGCCCAAGAGTATGGCTGGCCCAAGAGCAAAATAATGGTGACGTCCTGGTTAGAACCCAGGCTCCTAGCTGCCTTGGGAGGAAAACCAGCTGCCTCCAAATGATGTGGAGGGAGCCTGGGAGTCTGAACATGTGGGTTCATCCACTTTTCTTGGTCATGATATGTCAGAGCCACATTGTGTGTGTGTGTGTGTGTGTGTGTGTGTGTGTGTGTGTGTGTGTGTCTCGTTGGATGACCTTGGCCAGTTGTCCTTGCCTGTGTTCTCAGGAAAGGACAGCAAAACCAGGAGTTGTAGAATAGGGCACTTGACAAAGTGCTTTGCAGAGCAACAAGGTCACCTCACAGCACCAAGACCCGTGGTATCTCTCCAAAAGGGACAGGGCATGAAGCTAGTGGCCAGGGGACAGATTCTGCTTTGGGCCCAGTGTTCATTCCCAGGCTCAGCCCAGCTCACAGTGCCACAAAGAGGATGGTGATGTCTGCTTGGCTATTATCAAGGCCGCATGGCTCTGACCTGATTGCAAGGGCCAGCTCCCATCCCCTCCTGGGTGCCAGAGATGGATGGATGGAGGTCACCACACAGCCGTCACTGGCCCCCCCACTGTCCACCTACAGTCCTGGGCCCACAGGCCACTGCTGACCGCAGCCTAGTTTGGGAGAGGGACAAGCAGCCAACAACATGGTAATAATACAGACCTTCGCCCAAACACCCTGTGGACAGGGACTGGGATAAAGAGGCCTTGCTGTCCCCCAAGGTCACACAGCCCTGCAGGGAGTCCTATCCCCAGAGGCTAACATCTGTCTTGAGGGCTTTTCTTGCTAAGATGTCGAGGTACAGGATGGTTCTCCGAGGCTGCTAGAGTGGACACTTCCATCTCTGCCTGTCCACCTTGTCTCTCATTGGCATTAAATTCCCCTCCTGCTAAAGAACAAGGGCTGCCTCAGATTCCAGGCAGCAAGGTGCGGAGATGGGGTGAGCTCAGGGGAGCCGAGCTGGCCCCCAGGGTTCCAGGCTTGGGTGTGAGAACCATTGGGTTGGTGGGACTTGATCTGGGGCCTCAGGTGGTTGCTGCCCCAGCCCCATACTCCAAGGCAGGAAAGTTGCAAGTTCATTTCCTGTTGCCATTTTCCTGCTCCGGACTTGCTCTCTCCCCCTTCTGGTAAGAGCAGTGACTAGAGCATGGTAGCACATGCGTGCCTGTAATCCTAGTGCTCTGGGAGGCTGAATGAAGCAGGATGTTTCAACTTCCAACAAAAAAGGGCTGGGGAGATAGCTCAGTGTGAAGGCCCTGGATTCAATCCCCAGTACTGGGTGGGGAGAAAGGGGCTGGCACCCAGCACCTGGAATGGATGGAAGACATCTGTGGGCTAAACACATTATCTCTTCTTTCTGGGCATTTTTTTCCCCTAA